GCACCTGTGCGGGCCCCGCCCAGGCTCGTCTGCACCAGGGACGCGCCCCCACCGGCCCTGCCACCACCTAGCGGGTGCCTGTTTCCGCACTCGTGAGGATGGCTGTGGCACCGATCTTACAGACACGAACACAGTGAGGCAGGGTGGCCCACGGCCAGGTGCAGGGAGGGTGCTGTGGGCCGGCGGTCACCGCCAGGTGCCTCCACAGCACAGGAGAGAGGCGTGGGAGGGGCCGGGAGGCCCCACAGCTGGTGCGCCTCATGGCAGAGTGGCCGCTGAACCCAGGTCCCCAGGCCTCCAGCCCAGTGCCACCTGCCTAGCTTGACTGCTTGCCCTACACCCATGCCCTGCACTCTCATCCCCTCAGACGGGAGCCACGGCCTCAGCACAGAGGCCCTCGATGAATACCTGTCGAATACCTGTCGCTCGAACCCATGACCCGCTGTCAAGAGCTGGTGGCATCGGAACTGTGGAGTCAGGAGCCCCCACTGCAGGACTGCGCTCCCTCTTGAGCCCACTCTGGCAGGGAGCTGGTGGTCCTCCCTGCTTTGTGCAGAAATTGTCCACACTGCCCTCCACGTGCCCCAGACTGGGACACGCCCTGCCCTGCGGTCACGGGAGAGCTGCCGTCTGGAAACCGCAGGTGAAACTGTAGCTGCAGGGCCCCTGGAACCTCGGCACCGGCCGGCTCTGCCTGCAGGTGAGGCGAGGAAAGAACTCCCCACAGCTGTGCTCCTGCCCCTGACGCTTCCCACCTGCCCGTCCAAGTCGCCACCCAGGCAGTACCCCGTGGCCCCGCCTCGTGTGACTTCCTCCACAGCATGTCACCTCTGAGATGACTGTGCTACCGGTCTGTTTACAACTGAGTGTCGTCTCTTGGAAACTGGAGGTGAGACCTTTGTCTACCCAGCTGCCGTTCAAAGCCTCGCTGAGGGGCCCCAAGGTCACAGCGCCACCTGCTGGCGCTGGGCCAGGGCCTGCGAGCCAGGGGAGCCAGCTGTCCCCGAGCACACACATACCCCAGGCTCCACTTACACCACTTGCACCCACAATCCCCAGCTGCAGACAAGTCCCAGAGACCTCCTCGGACCCCGGCTGCTCCCCTGTACGTGCGGACACCGGGGTGCCTGGTCTTCAGGAAAAAGGAGTCACTCGGCCGCCCTGCTGTGTGGTCACACTGGATGAGGGTGGGCCCTAATCAGAACCAATGACGGCCTCCCCATACGAGGAGAGGAGACCAGACACAGAAACACAGAGGGGGGCACGGGAGGACCGGAGCAGAGATGGGAGTGACGAAGCGAAAAGACAAGCCGACCACCACCGGGAAGGTGCTGGGGGTGGCAGGAAGGGCCCTCCCTGGAGGCTTCAGTGAGCACGCTGCTGCCGACCCCTTGGTTTTGGACCTCTGCCTCCAGAACTGAGAGAAGAAAGGCCCGTTGCTCTGGGCCACTCACTTTGTGGCCCTTCGTTAAAGCAGCCCCAGGGAACCTATACGGCCCCCGCCGGCCCAGGGCCGGCCACTCTCGTCCTCACCGCACCTCCTGGAACTGACCCCGACCACGGGACACCTCCTCTGGAATCTCTCTCTGAGCCCGCCTGTCCCGAGCAATCCTGACGATGACCCGGACTGGTCTTGGAGACAGACGCCACCCTGGCAGAGCCTCGGGTGAGAGCAGAGCTCCAGCCCCCCCCCCCCCCCCCCCCCGGGAGACCTCGAGGCAGAGGCTCCTGGGCAGCCGAGAGGAGTCGGGTCACAGAGACTGTGAGACGGCCAGCCTTTGGTCATGTAAGTGCAAGTTGGAACAATGCTGTCACATGGCAGGGACCACCAGCAAGAGCAGCCGGGTATGGAGGGACTTGCCCTCCCGGCTCCCCACATCCCCCGCCCCTGCCCCTGGATCCCCACTCTCTCCCACCACCAGGGCTTCCTCTCTGACGAATTCTCTCCCATCTCCAAGTCTCCCGCTTCGAGAGCCCCCTACCCCCAACCCACACACTGTTCCCCAGACACGTGGAGGGCTGGCTCCTCTTGTCCTCTGGTCACAGCATGAATGTCACCCTGGAGGCCTTTCGGCCCCACCCAGGGTCCCGCCCTCCCTCAGCACCTGCCCCCTTTCCCCACGGTGCTGCTTCTCTCCTGGGCTGTGTGCTCCCAGAGGGCAGGGACCCCCAGGCCCAGCCCTGCTCCTGCTCGGGGTGAGTGGGTGTGTGGGGCACAGGAACTGAATGAATAATGGCAGGGTCTCGGCGCCCCTCCCGCCTCTGAGCAACTCACACTGTGGACGGGGAGACTAATAATAAAAGGTGCATGTGGGGTCCGAGGTAGCCAGATGCTTCGAATGACCCTTGGATGTCCCTTCCTGGCTCCCGCAGCTCCTGTGAGCACAGTGGCCGCAGCCCGCCCCCTGGTGGTCAGTCCCCACACTGCAGTCCAGGCAAGGAAACCAGAAAACAAAACACACACCTTTGTTTGAATGTAGTCAAGGTAGCTGCCCTCCCCGGAGTGGGAGGGCAAAGGAACAGGACCTGTAGGCTCTGGGGTGACACCTGGGACCCCAGAATCCCCTCTTTCCCCACACTGTCCTGGAGTCCAGTTCCTTCCCGAAGCCTCCTCACCCCAGCTGGGGCAATAACTCTGGACACACTTCCACATGAGGACCCCAAGTCCAACAAAGATGCCCTTGTCCTTGGTCCCCAAAGCAGCCGTCCCGTGTTCTGTCCTGTCCCACACTACCCAGCTTCCAGGACCCCCATCTCCCAGGCCACTTAGAAGGACTCATTTTCCAAGGACCCAGAGCACAGTGGGGTCATGGATGGAGGGTCAGGGACAACAGACTTCCAGGAGCCTGAGGGACCCTTGGCGTCACACACTCCTTGCACCCCAATGTACAGAGGAGTGGGCTGAGGCCTTCTCTCCCGTAGCCCCCTGCACACTAGGGAGGGGGTCTTCTCCTAATTCCGGGGGCCCACAGAGGAGGATGCAGGGCTCCGAGTCCTCCCCTGGCTACCCTGGGGACGGCCCCAGTCCAGGCAGACCCCTGGGCACCTTTGGGACTCCCTCGCCCTCTGTCTGGCATCTCTCCCATCCCTGTGTTACGGATCCCTGGCACGTTGCTAGGATACTAGATGCTCCTACCCGGTGGCTGGGCTGCCTCCAGCCTCTCTCTGCTTCTCCCTGTCACCTCCGCAGTGTGCACGCCTCCTCTGAACCCACCCCACGGCCCCAGCCTGGGAAGTCAATGTGTGTGTGTATGTGCCAGTGCCCATATGGGGATGCCCAGAGGAAACAGCTCCACCAGAGAGGGGTGGACAGGGGTTTCCCCAGGATCTTAGGGGCTCTCGATCCCATACGAAACCGCAGGGGAGACGCGAGGCTGGTTTAAGAGGCTGAATCCCTTCCTGTTCCCCTGGATTCTGCCCACCTCGTGGGCCCCAGGCCAGTCCCTGCCTCTCTCCTGACCTCAGTTTCCCAGTTGTACCAGAAGGGGTTGAACGCGGAACTGCGTAAGCGCGCGCCGAGCGTGAAGATAGCGCCACGCTCCCTCCCCGCCGGATGGGGTGTGGCGGGGGACATGCGGGCCTCCCTCCACCCGTGACGCGGGGGAGGGCGGTGAGGCCGGGCGTGGCACCTACCTGGCAATCTACCATCATCCTCAGCCCCGGCAGCGCATCGCCGGCCCCAGGGTGGGGCCCGGGACTCGCAGAGGCCGCTGGCCTCGGCCTGCGCGCCGCACAGGGGGGCGCCCGGCTGCGAGGCTCATGGCGCGGCCTCCCGTCCCCGCCGGGCCCGGGGCTCCGCGGCCCCCGCCGCCAGCACGGCTCCCATTGTCTGCGCTGCGCCGCCGGCCGCTCGGGGCCCCGCTGTTCGGTTCCACCCCGGCTCCCGGGCTGCGGGCGGGTGGGCGGGGTCAGCCGCGGCCCCGCCCCAGCCCGCCGCAGGTGTGAGGGGCGGGCCCCGACGCTCGAGCTCGGGGGCGCGCACCAGTTTCCCTCCTTTGGGCGGACGCCGCCGGGGCAGCTGGGTCTGGAATCCACCGCCGGGCGCGCACACGGGCCCGCGGACAGCGCGCGCACGGAAGCCCCGCCTTGCCGCTCGCGCGCAGCGCACCAAGGACTCGGCGCTCGGCGGGACCCACACGTCTTCCGCCCTTATCCGCCTGCTGCGTACCTCCTACTACCCCTAAGACCTCGGGCCACCCGAAACCCAACCAAGGCGGAGTCTGCCAGGGGCTGGGCCGTGTGGGACCCTGGGAACACGGGAGCCTTTGCACACCCACCCCCACCCTCTGGTCCTCATCCCCATATGACACCTTCAGAGGCAGCTCCGTGGCTGGCTGGTGTCACGGGGACCTGGAAATAGTAATAGACACTGAGGGTGGGAAGGAATGTCAGGTCACCCCTTCCACCTCTCCTCTATGCTCCCCCCGCCCCATTGTTCCAGGCAGGACCTGGGACTCAAGGTCCATGGAGGAGGGAGCCCCACCACTGGAGGGACTGGTGTTGGGGGTGGTTACTGTTATAGGCACCCCCAGGGGCGCTCAGTGCTTTCATCCCACTTTATAGATGAGCAGCAGTCCCAGGGCTCAGGATCACTCAGCTGAGTGATCAGGTCCAGCTGTGAACCAGGGACTCAGAATCACTGCTCTTTGTCAGCCCTGAGCCATGTGCTGGCGGTCAGAGTCCTGTGCTGGGATTCCCTGGCCAGGACAGGCATCAGGAGTCAGTGGCCCTGCATCAGCCTTGCAGGGGAAAAGAGCACCTGCCTCACTCCCAGCCGGGCCTTGGTCCCAGCATCTTTCAGACCCAGAGCCTTCTCAGCCCCAGCCCACACCTACAGGGACTATGGCTGAACCGGGTCCAATCCCAGGGCATGGCTCTTAGACATCAGTTTTAGCCCAGGTTTTCTGGAGAACTGCCCTCCCTACCCCACCCCATGAGTGGATGCATTCAACACCCAGGCTGCCTGTATCACTGGGGCCAATGGCACAGAGACACTCAGGTACTGGTGGAGATACCCTGGCTGGGGCCTAGCAGGGGCCACCTTTATTAAAGCTGCCTCAGCCTCCTTACAAAGGAGGCAGCGAGTGCCAGGTGAGGGTGGTCGCCGCAGGGTGTGGCTGCACTGGAAACCAGAGAGAGCCCAGACTCAGTCCGGTTCACGGGCTCCTGAGTGGGGAATTGGCTCCGTGTGGCCCAAGGACATCACAGTACTGGGAGCCCTGCAGCCAGAAAAAAGGGTCCCTGGATGCCCTTCACACCAGCAGTGACAAGTGCAACTCCAAGGGCAATGGGCAGGAAAGCGGTCAGAGGTGGAAATGCAGGCACGGTGGAGGGCAGGGTGCAGAGCCACCCTGAGGACATGAAGGCACGAGGACATGAAGGCAAGTCTATCGGGCGCCTGGCAGCCCTGCTGTCTTTACCCTGTCCTGTCCCAACTCTCGGGCCACATTTGAGCTCTGTGTTCCCTCCTGTGGGCACAGCCCTTCCACAGTTCCCAGAGACCCTCCCACACCCGCTTCCGGTGGGATTCTCCTGAGAGAGGCAGGCAAGACGAGGCAGGTCTCAGTTAAGGCTTGAGAAGTGAGGCACTCTGCTGGTGCTGTTGGGTGCCTGTGAGGGCCGAGCTGGCTGCACGGCTTGGGGCCCCATCCACGGCAGCCGGGCTCTGCGGTCAGCTCTGCAGCCAGTGGAGGTCCTTGTCCAGAGTAGAAAAGCGGATCAGCTTCAGGCTGGGTGGCTGGGGCTTCCTGTGGTCCCAGAGGTACTCTGGGGACAGCACTTTGGAAGGCTTGTGTGAGATGAAGCGGCGGTTCAGGTGGCTCTCCTCCTGCCAGGCCGCCATGATGCCGTTGGCCTTGTCCGCCAAGATGGCCATGTGGCAGCCCCTAGTGAAATCATACACCCTGTCCACCCGCCCCCCAAAGACCTCCCTGCCATAATAGAAGTCCCCCTCACTGTCTGCCACAAAGGCGGTGGAGACATGCCTGCGCTCATAGGGGAACTGCTGGCGGGGCGCGGTGTAGTAGCCAGGGTGAATGGCAGCTACCAGGTCTCCCAAGGTCTCGGGGCCCCAGTGGTTCTGGAACACCATGTCCACGTCAACACAGAACAGGTAGTCCACCTCCCGGTGCGCCCTCTGGGCGATGTGCTGGCTGATGGTCTGCATCCGGCGCATGGAGACCTCCTCCCAGCGGGGGTGCTTCTGGATGGGGATGACGCTGACAGTGCGGTCGGGGCCCAGCAGGACCTTCGGGATGGCCGCAGGGTCGTCGGTGAAGATGTAGTAGCACACCTGGTAGCCGGGCATGAAGAACTGCTCGGCCGACTCCAGGAAGCGCCGGACGAAGCGGGTGTACCTGGCGGTAAGAATCCGTCATCCGCGTTGGCCCCAGCAGGGTCCCCGCTGTGTGCCAGCACCACATGGGGCACGGGGCCTCCTGCAGTTGGCTGGGCCAGGTCTGCCCTGCAGCTCCCACTTGGGGGAGTCACGCAGCTTTGACCCTCGGGGTCCTCGTCTGTCAAATGCCCACAGTCACAGCACCTGCCCCCCAAACGTTGTAAGAGTGAGTCTGAGTAGGTGCCGCTCCTGATGCTCCCAGCTGATCTAACTCTGAGTGAGCCAAGTGCCAGGTGGGGCCTAGGGATGCCACCGTGGTCCTGTTTTATAGGCAGAGACGCTGTGGCTCGGGACGGAAAGGAACCAAAACGCAGGTCAGGTCGGTGGCTGTATCCGGGGAAGTGAGAGGTGCCGGGGGCCCAAGGCAGGTGGAAACTATATGGCCCTGCTCTCCAGGACACAGCTGATTGGACCGGCAGTCACCTGGCCCCAGGTGGGCCATCCCTCATCTGGCCAGCGCTTTAGGCCTTAGGGCCCCATCATGGTCCCCCTATCAAGAGTCCTAGAAGGGGACACAAAAGGAAGCTGCCAGGTGGTGGCCCTGTAGGAAAGGCCAGGTAGGGTCCAGGAGGCCAGGGGGAAAGAGGGGAAACTCAAACAGCAGGCAGCACCGGCAGCGTAGGGGGGCCTGAGGGCAGGGCCAGCTCAGCTGGGGTCCCTGGTTCGCTGGCAGCCTAGCCTGACCACGGACCCCCTATTTATGTGAGGTGGTCTGAGGGCTCTCCACTCCTCCATGCCTGCCTGGACTGTTTAGGGGAAGCAGAGAGGGATGAGGGGGCAAGAGGGTCTCCTGACAAAGGCTCCTGCTGTTCCCTCACCTGGGCTGCCCTCTTCCCCCCCAGGCCAGGGCCTGACCCCCTTCCTCCAGGAAGCCCTCCTTCCCACCTATGTCCAGGTCCTGCCTCTCCCCAGACCACGAGCCCCAGTGGCTGTCACAGGCCCGGCCCACCACTCACTTCCCCGCGGCGAACGCGGTGAGCCCGATGGTCAAGTTCAGTGGCCGGTAGATGCTCTGCAGAAGCTCCACGTCGAAGGTTCCCTCGGAGACGATGGGTGCCAGCCAGGGCGTGAGCGTCAGCAGGTCTGTGGGCCTGGCAGCAGGAGGCGCCCGGGGGCTGAGACCTGCCCTTGGGCTCACCCTAGCCCGCCTCCCATGCTGTGTGACCCCAGGCGGCTTCATTCCCGTGTCTGGGCCTCGGCATGCTCCGGAGGGAAGTGGGGATGGGAAGATCTACCTCCCAGGGTGGTCGGAGGGCCCGAGGTTAAGGCACGGGGTTATCGTCATTGTCATTAAAAAGCCCTGGCCGGCGTGGTCGAGCATCGTCCCACAAACCGAAAGGCCACGGGTTCACCTGCTGGTCAGAGCCCGGCCCTGGGTTGTGGGTTGGGTCCCGGGACAAGAGACAACTGATCGCTGTTTCTCTCACATTGATGTTTCCCACTCTCTTTCTCCCTCCCTTCCCCTCTCTCTAGAATCAATAAAAGGGAAAAATTTTTAAATGCACTGTCACTGACGGATCGAGCACCTGCCAGGGGGCGGGCACACTGCTGTGCAGCTCCCAAACCCGGGCACACCTGGCCCTCCAGCCTCTGGTGAGTGGGTGGCCCGGCCCCGGTCCACCCGAACGCCCAGGCCGCCAGGCACCTCCGCCGTCAGAGCTCTGCACCCCCACCTTCCACCCCAGGTCTCTCCGTGCTGCCCCCCGGCCCTACGCAGTGCCTACCTCTGCTCCAGCAGCTTGGGCTGCGGGTACTGCGACCTGTAACAGAGAAGGGCCGGGGGTGAGGGAGGCGGCCAGCACCCCAGGGCCACAAAGCGGGACCTGACAGTGCACTTACCGGGCCGCGGGCTGGAACGGCCTCTCGCCCCTGTACTGCAGCTGCATGTTGCTGGTGGGCAGAGGTGAGAAAATGCCATTACCGCCAGTAGGTGGCAGAGTGGAGCTGAGGCTCACTCAGCACCCCCTCAACCCCGAGCAGGTGACCCCCGGGACTCCTGAACCCTCCCCACTGCCCTGCCTGCTCTTCAGGGCCTGGGTCCCACCAAAGCATCTGTCTAGGGCCACCGAGTGGCAGCGTGTTTGTCCCCAGAGCTGGCGCTCTGGCAGCTCTGGCACGATGTAGGAGCCCAGCACTGGGAGGGGGGTTGGAGAAGCTGCGGAGAAGCCGGCGTGCACACAGTCCTGCCGGCTCCCGGCCTGGGGGCCATGGGAGAGTGGCCTGACCCGAGCGCACAGGATTGGTCAATGGTCAGACCCAGTTACACAAGCATTGTCCAGCAGCCATGGAGGCTTCCTGCAGGTGTGAGGAAGGCCTGCACCAGCTGGCTGTGGGTAGAGACCACCCCGACAAGGGCCGGGCCAACACCCCCAGCTGAAAGGCCTGAGCACAGAGCTGAGGCCTCCCTGAAGGAGGAGTCCTATAGGGGTCAGCTCCCACCCAAGAGTTCCAGCCTGCTCGCCCTGATGGCCTGGCCTGTGTTCAGACTGGCCTGGCCACTCCCACGGTCCAGTAAGCAACCTCTGTCTGTCTGAGCACCTACCCCCCACCTCCCTCATTCCCGCCCCCCTCCTGCTGGTGCAGGTCCACTGGTGCAGGTTCGGTTTGCTCAGGGAGCCTGGCCAGTCTGCAGCAAGGGTGCCCGTCCTCAGCCACGATTGGACCGTAGGATGCGGGCCAGGGGCTCTCGGCCCACACCCAGCAGCAGCCTGTGTGGTCAGCCCACACTCGCGTGGAGGCCGCCCTGGGTGGCACCTAAGGAGGGGGTCCCTTGGAAGGAGGTGGCAGGTTGCAGAGTCCCTGGTTCTGCTACCATCTCCCCAGGGACCTGGGCCAGACATCTGACTCCTCGGAGGGTTCAGTTCCTTCACCCTTAAAAAAATGAGACTATAAACCCCTCCACAAAGAGCTGTCTCCCAGGCGGTGGAGGTGAGGCCCAGAGAAGGGAGGGGCCACCCCATGCCACCCAGGGGGCCAGCTCTGGGAGAGGCCTGCGGTAAGGCTGATACTACCCACCCGGGGACACGGCGCCTGCCATGCATTTGGCAATTCTCCGTATGTCACATATGATGATGCGGCTTTAGCCTCCTTGTCTTCCTACCTATTTTAGTTTATGCTTTTTTACGGATGTGGTAAAAATATTAACAAAAATCACCATTGGAACCCTTTTGGGGTGTGCAGTTCAGTAGTGTCCAGAGTGTTCACAGGTTGTGCACCTGTCCCCAAGTCCACCCCCAGAACTTTCCCATCTCCCTGACCGAAACCCCGTCCCGTTAGTTAAATACGGGCTCCCTCCCCTCCCCAACCCCTCCCTCAGTCTCTGGGAATCTCCGGTAAGTGGAATCACACCACATTTTCCCTCCTGGGATCAGTCTCTGCTCTGGAATCAACAGTTTAGAAAAGCCAGGGTCACATCGGCCCAGCTTCGCACAGACAACCACACTCGGGTCCCTGCTCAGAGGGTGATGGGGATCTGCCACGTGGTCCGGAGGGAGGGTGCCGGCCCCGGCCCATCCAGCACAAGCCCACTTCCCTGGCAACGGCCCCTCCCTGCCCCCACAAGGCCAGCCCCAGAGTCCAAGGTAACACACCAAAGCCAGACAAGCCCTGCCAGAAAGAGGATCTTGACCTTCCTAACCCCTGAAGGTAAGACGGCTGCAAGTCTTGAAGAAGTGGAAAGGAAGCAGAAAAGACCCCAACCCACTTCAATCTATGAAAAACGAACTCGGTAGAACCCAGAGACAGACAAGCTGCAAAGAGTATGAAAATGTAGCAAATGTGCTTGGCCAAGGCCAATGGCACACACGGGCAAACAGGCCGAAGGCCGGCGCGGCAGAGCAGGGCCTGGGAATGTGGGGAGGGCCTGGGGGCACGGAGGCCTCAGGAGGAGTCAAAGAAATGAAATCTCAACAGAGGAGGCAGCCTTTCCCATCTCCCGTCAGCTGCGGGGTGGCCCTCGTTTTTCTAGTTCAGTTTGTTTTCTGGTTTCACCCAGTACTTCCAGCAGGGGCCCGGGGGCAGTGTGTGTGGGGGCGGGACGTCCCGGTCCTTCTAGAAGGCAGCCTGACTGGCTGTCTGAGAACCTCTCGTGCCCTGACAGGTGGGGCTCGGCTGGTCAGAGGGCTGGCCTGCAAACCGAAAGGCTGCAAGCTCGATTTCCAGCCAGGGCACGTGCCTGGGCTGCGGTTTCCGGGCCTGGTTGGGGTGCCTCCGAGAGGTGAGTCTCGGGTTTCTTTATAAAACCGACGTTTCTCTTCCTCTTTCTTCCTCCCTCCCCCTCACTCTAAAATCAGTGAGCCTGTCTTCAGGTGAACATGTAAAAAATAAACAAAAATAACTTCTCCATATCCTCCAACCCAAGGAGGGAACACAAAAGGACCTTTAAGACGGAGAAAGCTATAGACCAAAGCGGTTCTCTACGAGCTAATTTGGACCACCAGGAAATTGGAAAACACCGAAATCCCTGAAGTTCATGTGGGAAAGGTGGGGAGGGATTCAAGAATTATCACCCAGCTCCTGGGTGGCATACATCGAGAGTGACTGTGAAGAGCATGAACACAGGCCAAAAAATAAAGTCACTTCTGGACAATGTGATAAAAAACACAAAAACATTAAGATCACAACTATTTCTGCCCTGACTGGTGTGACTCAGTGGACTGAGCACCAGCCTGCAAACCAAAGGGTCGCTAGTTCGATTCCCAGTCCAGGGCACGTGCCTGGGTTGTGGGCTGGGTCCCCAGTTGGGGGTGCATGAGAGGCAACCACACACTGATGTTTCTCTCCCTCTCTTTCTCCCTCCCTTCCCCTCTCTCTAAAAATAAATAAATAAAATCTTTTAAAAAATATTTTATTTATTTATCTTTAGAGGGGAGGGGAAGGAGAGAGGGAGAGAAACATCAATGTATGGTTGCCTTTCGTGCATCCCCTGCTGGGAACTGGCCCGCAGGGAACTGGTCTGCAACCCAGGCATGTGCCCTGACTGGGAACTGAACCGCGATTGTCTGGTTCGCAGGCCTGTGCTCAATCCACTGAGCTACAGCAGCCAGGGCCAATAAAATCTTTTTTAAAAAAAAAGATCACAACTATTTCCCACAGCGAGCAGCCTTTCCGGTTTTAGAAGTGGGTGAAGCAGAATCTGGTCACTTAGAAAGCACAGCCCCCAGCGAGCTGACAGCAAACTCTGGAACTGGAACAAAAATCAGACCCGGGTTTCTTTTTTCTCTTTTCCACTCCTCAGCTTCCTAATTTGCTATATTCTGTGTTTTTATCATAATAAACCAGGCCGTGTTAATTCGAAGTCTATGACCCAACTTTGGACTTTCCTTTGGCCGCCATAAAACACAAGATGGGGGCCCGATGGCCCCTGAGACTGTCCCAACCCTCTGCTTCACTCACAACCATCAAAGTCAGATGCCAGACTTGGTCTCAAGTTCAGGTGCTCCTCGGATGCACATGGAGCACAGAGCCGAGCAAAATGGTCAAGTCCACACACACTGTTTCCTGAGTGCCTGCCACGAGTTAGTGCCCCCTTGCCAAGGGTCCTCAGGCACCACTGCACTCCGTGACCCTGGCAGCCCGGAGGGGCGCCTCCCCCACCCCACCTCACAGATGCATCAGGTAAGGCTCAGGGTTCAAGCGCGGAGGATCATTGGAAGGGCCCCCAAATACTGAAGCAGGGCAGCCCCAAATTACCCAAACACTCGTCCCACTGATCATGAGCTTGGGACCCAGGCACCTGCAAACTGGCGACCTTAAAAACTCTCCCATCTCCCCCACTCCCTGCAGCCCGCAGGCCCCACCCCCCGCCCCATCTCCCTGCCCCATACTTACAAGATGGCTGGGCAGGGGAGGTAATAGGGGAGGTAGGAGAAAGGCAGCCAGTTCTCCACATATACCCTGGGAAGGAGAGACACCTGCTGACCCGACCACCCCAGAGGCTGAAACCTGGAGCGGTGGGGGGCTCTGCCCATTTGGGACACGTCGGCGGGAGCCAAGGCCCCAGTGGTACCTCCGCAGTCCCCAGTCACCCCTGAGGTCTGGCTGACCGTGGAGGACAAAGTCTCCCGGTCCTCTGGCATGTGGTCATTAGCCACCCGTGAAGTCATTCATTCCTGGGGCAGGAATATTCTTGACTCCACGCCCTGCTCACAGGAGGGGGTGGTGTGCTGTGGGGCAGCCCAGGGAACTGCCCAGAAGGAACACACGGGGTGAATTAGGGAGCGTAACCAGGAGTTCCTCATCGCGGAGCGTGGGTGTGTGTGTGGGGGGGCGGCAGAGGGAAGAGCATGCGCAAAGGCTAGGCAAAATTCAGGAGCCTAATTTGGTCTTACTGGGGTTGGGGTTGGGAGGGATGGCAGATGTGCCAGGAGAGGGTCGGGTTTGGGAGTTGAGATACCAAGAGAGAAGTTTCAGGTGGGGCTGGAGGGCTCCAGGGCGCATGCTCACCACAGAACACAGAGGGCCGTGCCCACCAGCAGGCAGAACCCCAGGCTCAGGGCCAGTCTGCGGCAGCGCATGGCTGGGTGCAGCTCCTGAGCCTGAGCACCGGCTGCGGGCGGGTCTGCCTTGAGGTATCAGCCTCCTCTCCGAGCCCCTGTCGGTGAGGGGAACACCTGCAGAGAAATAAATGCTCCTTACCCAGAGGATAGTGGCCCCATCCTTGTTGTCCTGCCCTCCCCTGGGCGGCCCCACCAGGGGAATGTGGACCCCAGGCCCCGCTCTTGAGGCTCGGGAGGAAGCCTACAGCAGTGTCTGGGAAGAAGCACACCGCCCCTAGCCTAGGCTCTCAGGTCTTCCTCCTAACTCCTCGCATGACGGTGAGCTGAGGGTCCCGGGTCCCGTGGAGCTGCAAGGGGCGGGGCGTTTGGGCGGGACTTGAGGAAGCGTCCCCTAGAGCAAAGGTGAGGACAGTCGGAACTCGAGCCCAGCGTCTGCACGGCCGCGACAGGGCCGCGACTCCCCAGGAAGAGGCGTGGAGGGTGGCAGCAGTGCGTTGCTCTGAGAGGTGGGCCTGGCTATTCCAGGGGACCTCGCAACGCGCCCCATCTCTCCCTATCTCGGTAATGTAGGACAGGTCCCTTTCCCGCCTCCACCACAGCCTTCGGGATCTCCCGGGATAAAGACGCTGGGCAGGCGGGGAGAAAGGACAATACGCACCGCCCCTGAGGAGGTCGTGCGGGAACGGCGGAACAGCGCTTGGCTGGGTCGGGGCCACAGCGAGCCCGGGACCCGCAGGGCTCCTCCCGAGGTCAAAGATCCCGGGATCTGGAGTTTCGGGGACCTCTGGCAAGTCCGCTCCTCTCCCGCCCTCCGCGGGCTCGTTTTCCCTACACGGGCCCGGACGTGCAGACGTCTTCGACTTCGGCTCCGCTAGGCCGTACCTCCCCAGGCGCCTAAGACACAGAGCCGGCCTGAACCCCGTACGCTCCGGCCCCGGGTCCGCAGCGAGGAGCCCGGGGAGGAGGCGCGCTCCTCGACTTCCGACCCTCATTACGGGCTCCGGGCGGGAAGGGCGACGCGAGAACAGCGCGGGGCGGAAGGAGCGCAACGGTACCTTGCAGAGTGCAGACTCACCTCCTGCAGCCAGAACCGTGTTAGGACGGACGGAGGACGCGCGCCGACCCGGTCACCAGCGACTCGGCTCGCCAGGGTCCCCGCTAGATCCCGTGGGGGCGCTGTGCCCGAAGAGCGCGGATTGGGCCTGACCTAAGGCCTCCAGCAGAGAGACGGGCCGAGTGGTTCCGCCAGTAGGCAAGGTCGCCCCTCCCATGCACGCAGCCTCGCGCCCCGCCCACTGACCAAAGCTCCTCCCATTCGCCCCGCCCACCGACCGCAGGACTGGTCCCCAGTTCCCCAGCGCGTGCTGGAATCCCCTGGGCGCTGCCCGCCACTAGCCATCTGTTACGTGCCCTAGGATAAAGCAGGCCCAGCTCTGGAGGGAGAAGCACGGGCCTGGGAACTCGGAGCCGGGCCCGAGAAGTCGGAGAAACGATTTGGGGAAAACCTTGAATGTCTTCAGCAAACATTGAAGCAATCACAATTAGGGAAAACCAGTGGGTCATTGCTCTGACTCTCAGCTTAGGATCGTTCTGCCTTTGCTCAGGACCTCCGAGCCTGGCTGGTGGCCTGGGGGACCAGGAGCCGCTCCCGGGATCTCCTGGTGCCCCTGTAAATAAGGTTGGCCATACTTTCCTTCCAGGGTCTGTCTGTAACCTGGACCCTTGCTCACACCCAAACTCCAGAAGCCCCAGGGGGACCCTCTTACAGCTTAGGTGTGGTGATGGAGGGGACATGGAAGGTGCCCCAATGGTAAAAATATAGCAGTAAAGGGGGTGGGGTCTCCTTACGTGAGAAACCGCAGAAGACAAAACAACTGAGGGTCAAGGTCACAGCAATGCAGCTTGAAGCTGCAAACCCAGATCTACCTGGCACCAGGGCACAGCCTCCCAGGCCCCTCAAGGGGGTTGTCAACTGGGTCCTTGGCGTTTTCTCTGGGTGACCTCTGGGCCCCCCACGGCAGGCGCCCATTTCCCCAGTGTCTGGAGGGCCGAGGAGCTGGCAACCGCCAGCTGGAAGGTCACTTCCATTTTTAGCCGGAAACAGTGCCTCCCTGGGCCCTGGTCTGGGACCAGCTGGTTTGTTTTTCTCCCTCAGTATAAGTTTGCCATTTCCTGGTGTGCCCTCTTGTTGACGATAGAGACCTGGTTCTCTTCTTGCTAATGCATGTGAAGAATTACAGATCAGCAACTCTCGTAGCCTGCCATCAGTTTATTGGTGTCCAGTCCCCGGGAAGAGGATGGGCCTTGCTAGAGTGGGGGGAGGAGCAAAGGTTCAGGGCAAAGCAGGAAAGTAAGTGCGGCTGAAGGCGGGGGGCAAGAGAGCCCAGGGCCAAGAGACTGAGTCCTTTGTTCTGAGGACTTACATAGTTGGCGGGAAGAGAGTAAAAAAGTTACATATTGATCAACCGGTAAAGGCAGTGCCAGCATTCCCAGGGGGTGTGACCACCCAAACTTCGGTATGGATGGCAGTCTGTTAGCCCAAATCCTTATCTTGCTCCAGACCCCATTTATTTATGTTGTTGTAAAACAGATACGTGTCAGAGGGCAGTTAATTAAAGCTGGGAAGTTACTTAAAGTTACTGATGGTCTCTTTCTATAAGCATTAGTGATTCCCTCATAAAACAGATAGTGACCAGAGGTAGGCAATTAACCAAAGTTGTTTTGTGGGCTCCTTCTTTGGGCACTGTGGACCCTCTCCTGCATCCCAAACCCTGGGATGAGAGCACATTTCAGGGCTTTCTTTCCCAGACAGTGGAAATGCTACATAGAATTTCAAGGACTTCTCCGTCCTGTGTTAACATAGTGTTTCTTGTGATGTTGGGACACCAGCAATATTATCGGATCAGGCCCAGGACTGCTGAGTCAGCAGGTGAGGCATGTCTCCCTCCTCCTCCCTGCCTTGGTTTACTATTTCTTCTACCTAAGTGATAAAAGGCTTTTCCTGGCAACCAGGATGCTAGACACCAACCTTCCTGCTTCCTGGCTGTGGGTGAGATGCTGTCCTGCCGTTAGGGTATGAGCTCCAAGAGCAGGGCCGGTGTCTGGGGTAAAGAACATTCTGGGGGGTGGGGTGGGGCACAGCCCGAAGAGGCGTCCTAGCCGGCACTGAAGAAGGGTCCAGACCATCTCTCCGTCCAGGCCCTGTGGGTCCGGTGCCAGCTCCTGGTCTCTGGCAGAGGCTGGCGCAGGTGCAGGTAGGTGATGGTTCTCCCTGGGGGGCCGATGGGTCTAGATGCCCCTGGCCCATGACCAAGCTGCCTGCAGCCTCATGCCAGGTGTGGGGGGAGTACACAGCTGCTCTTCCTGGGCCTCAGGATACTCCAGGACACAGCTTGTGTTAGTGTCCCTGACGTTTAGGAGCTGACCGAGTTCACGCAGCGGTCAGTGATCTTTCTTCTGGGGAGGGAGGGGTCAAAATAGAGCAGGTCACAGGACCAGGAGACGGAGCTGTCCCTGGTCCTGGCCCGTTGGCTGCTGTGGTTGGAGCTGCTGGGACAGTGGGTGCTCACAGGAGCCCGTGGTCACAGACCATCCGTACCTGGGAAGGTGTGAGGGAAACGCAGAGCAGGCAGCACCCCACAGCAGCAGGGGTCCCTGCTCACGAACCGTGCACCTTGGCAAAAGTCCGACAAGAGCACAGAAAGCATTGAAGGTCAAGAGTGATCCACGAGAGGCCAGATCAGCCTGCCTGCGGTCACAGTCGCTGACAGCAGAGAGACTTGCAGGATGAAAAGTGCCTCTTGGAGTGGCCTGGGCTGGCAGGTGGTGTGGAGGGTGCCCAGGTGGCCCGGCCCGCCAGTCTGCACCTGCCTGCCAACCTGTCAGCCACGGCACGGGCAGGATGGCCCGTGGCTGACCACTTCCGTTGGTGAGTTCAACCAGACGTTTAAGGGAGAACAGGCCAATCCTCCCCAAACTCTTCCAAAAAATTAGAGTGAGAGGAACCCTCTCAAACTTATTTTCGTGTGGCCACATTATCCTGAAACTAAATGAGATAATATAAACGAGGACACTACAAGAAAACTACCGGCCAATATTCCTGACAGTGATCAATGTAGAAACTCTCAACAAAATACTAGCAAACCGAATTCAACAGCATTTTAACAGGGTCACCCACCGAGATCAAGTGGGACTTATCCAAGGGATGCAAGTGTGGGTCAGCATGCAGATCAACCAGTGTGACGTGTTACATTAATAGTGTGGGAAATAAAAACCGTATGATCCTCTGAAGCAGAAAAAGCATTTGACAGAATTTGACATTCATGCATCATAAGAAACTCGGTAAATTGGATGCAAAAGGAACCAACTTCACCATAACAAGGCCATAGATGACGAACCCACAGCCAACACCATTCTCAGGGGTGGGAAGTGGAAGGCTTTTCCTGCCTGATTTTCCTGCCAAGCCAGGAAGTGCGGGTGTTGGGAGCCAGCCCCCCGCCCGCCCCTGGCTGTCCCGGAAACGCCTCCCTGGCGGGGGAAGAGCCCGGCTGTGTCTGCGTGACACTGGCAGCCATTCAAAGGAGGGGATGGCACTGAGGTGCCAAACTTTTATGGGTTTTCAGGGGACGATGTTGATTTTTTATTTTATCTATTTTATTCCTTCTTTATTGTACTTTTCATTACCGTTTGTTCTCCCTCTACTCTCTTCCACCTCCACCTACCCCAGGCCTCCAGGGAGGGATGGGTAAATGCCAGGCGGTAGCCCTGGAGTTTCTCTCTCCCGGGGACATGTGACCATCTGGGTCTAGCCTACCGGGCCCCACGGCAGATGGCGTGGGCTCCACAGCACTGAGCTTTAACATGAAGCAGAAACTCTGGACCTTGGCTGGCCACACCCTGGCTGGTGTGGCTCAGTGGACTGTGTGCTGGCCCGCTCAATCCTCTGGATTGAGAGGTTCGATTCCCAGTCAGACCACATGCCTGGGTTGTGGGCTGGGTCCCCAAATGGGGGCGCACAAGAGGAGACCGATTGATGTTTCTCTCACACGTTGATGTTTCTCTCCCTTCCCCTCTAAAATAAATAAATAAATAAATAAAATCTTTTAAAAAGCCACCTCTGGAACTTGGCTTTTGTTTTGACCTTGCTGAGGACATGGTTGGACTTTTCCGTGGTGGAGCAGAGAGAGATGGGACATTGGCCACCCAGGGGGCAGGTTCTACCTCCACCCAAATAAATCTTGCCACCCCACAGCCTCCCGTGCGTGGGTCCTTGGAATGCTCTCCTCGTGGTCCCATGGAAGACAACACCGCCACCCACCAATGGACAGGTCTTCCCTCTGTGTGTCAAAATCTCCCAGGAAGTCTCGGACACAGGGATGGGGCCAGGGTGTGTCCTGTGCAGGTGGGTCTCTATTTCCACAACCCCTCCTCCTGCAGGGACTGCCCCGGCTGCTCACCTCCCTCCGCCTCTGCCTGTTCATCAGATTCCCCTGGAAGTTGGGCAGCCAAAGCCCATCAGAAAGAGCCCCAGCCCCTTCAACCTCATCCTGAGGGTTGAACCCTTACCCTTCCTACCCTGCGCTACCGCAAGAGCCCACCAGGGGGCAGGGTAGGACTTGGACCTAAGCCAGGGTCCCGCCAGCAGGGCTGCTGGGCCTGAGAATGAGGCCTGGGACCTCCTAGCCCCACCCTCTCTTCCGGTGGACAGACCGAGGCCTCTGGCCACTCGTGTACCTGCTGTCTCTGCGTAGGGCTGCCTTTTCTCTCTGACCTGCTCAGGGCTGGCTCTCCTGGCATTCTAGCCACAGCAGATGCCACCTAGTGAGGACTTTTGGGTGCTCCGGCCCAGGCAGACAGGCCTCCCCGCAGCTCCGTCTCACTCTAGCGGAGCTCTTTTCTTTCACCGGTCTCTTCGTCTGTGCTTTTGTTCACCTCCCTGCAGACTGAGCCCTGGGTGGAGAGGGGCCCCTGGGTGGTTTTCAGCACTGTCCTTGGACCCGTCAGGGCTTCTGCCAAGCAGGAGCGCTTAGTGTTTGGAGCCCCCGCTCCTGCTTTTGACCAGCTCAGACTGTGAAGACCAGTGCTAGTAATAGGAGGTGCCACTTGCTGGGGGACAGGCAGCATGACCCCTGACTGCTCCCTGCTCACAGCTAAGAGTAGTTGCTCACTCCAAAGCTGCACGGGCCTCACCTACCTGGGAGACTGCCCCCTGGTGGCCAGAACTGGAACTGCAGTCCCAGGCAAGGACGTCACAAAGCAAGACAGGACCTC